AAGCGAGAGAGTGTTCAGTTTAGCAGGTGATATCCTTCGCTGTGAAAGGGCCCGTTTGGATCCAGAGAGCAGATATGCTCATCTTCTTGAAGATGAATGCACAAAACTGAACTGTGATGGGATTTGTTTTCTTTCATCAGGCAAATGTTGATTTCAAGGATGCTATTTGTTTTATGTGCAATGCCGAGATCTCATGATCCTTTATGTGTTCTCTGGTCAGTCGAATCTCAGGTTGAATATTAATTACACTGGTGCTATTTTATTTTTCCATTGACAAGATGTACTATTCCCGCCTGATGGTTGTTATAAATGATATTGCAGAATCAGTTTTCTTCATAGATAATGTGTTTTTCATTGTTTGTTCAGTACTAAAAGGTCCAAGTCCCACAATTGAATTTAATATTCATTTGACATGTTAACTATATAATAAAGCGCTTCATGGGAGTAATTGCGGGATGATAAAATGTTTCCCTTATGCAACATGAAAGTATCACGATATGTATCGGTTGAGTATCGGTATCGTTCAGTGGTATCGGTATCGGTATCGTAAAAAAGTCAACGATATGCATCCCTAAGCCACACCCAGGTCATTACCTGAAGAGAAGAAGACAAGAAACATGAGAAACATTGCTATAGTGCCCCAATTAGTTAATGATAATAATATGAATGATAACTACTAGGACCGCACCATTTTTAGAGAAGGACATTTGGCCCTTGTCTACATCCAAGTAGCATCCAATGGTATCATGCATGGTAAACTCCTGCAAAGAGACAAAATAAGAAAATGAAAACAAGTTTGAAAAAGGATCTCAGAACTGTTTACATATCTAAATATTCAATAAGTAATAGCTACCTCTCCATAGCTGTCAAACTGCTTGTTGTTGGATTTCTTCCCAGTCCCACCAAAGCCAAAACCATACTTATCAGTTCCTGGAAAGAAATAAAGATTACAAGATTAAATATGTTTTCTAGTCAAATAGTTTATTATAGGCTGAGTATCTTGTACAGCATTAAGGGGGCATACCCAAGTCCAGGGCTGCCTGACTGGTGGACCACCCAATGCGACATAGACCCTGGTCATGGCAGGTCACCTCATAGTAGTACTTCCCTGGTCAAATAAAAGACATAAATAAGAACCGGCAACAGTTGCAAAGAAATAAATGCTTGTTCATTTATGTAAGACAATCGAAGAAATGGTTAGTTCCCCTGTGAAATGTGAATGTTGTCATGTTGTACCTTTGGTAACCCCTTTTGTTGAGCGACAGCCATGCCACTCTTTGAACTCCCTGCTCTGGCAGCACAGTCCATCTGGACCAATTGCTGTATGGGTAAAAAGCAAAAAGAGCAGAGCTTTAGGTTAGAATGTCCTTAAGTGAATGTGATATTACATGCTATTTTTTCTCTGCTTACCAAAGGCTGGGCTGCGGTCATAAGGATTCATCTGCCAGTTGTTGAAAACTGAATCAAAAGAAAGAAGCAAGCAGGTTAAATATCTGCAGGGCACAGCACACCACTTTCATACTTTGTAATAATGGATCCTCAATATGAAACTGGTCTTTTGAGATCTTTAAGTCTAGAAAGTTCTGTGCAATGTTATGAACAGTTTTTAGCTGATATGTTAGACATACAGAGTGCAAACAAAAACATAATTCATATTAGGGGGTCTCACTAGTTCCTCCAGTCTTGATGGAAGCTCTGCCAGTCTTGCCCTCCTGCTCATCCTTCAGGGTCTCATACACAATCTGGATCACTGGCATACTGAAGGCCTGTGGATTAGAAATGATTACACATACATTTTGTAATGTTTCCAACTTGGTCTGATGTTTAAATGCAAACTGTAGATGTTAGTTGTATTATAATCTGAGTGGCTGTCAAGTACTTACCCCTGTTTTACCACTACCAGTTTCTGCTGCCTAAAAAGGGAATAAAAGAGGAAAATGAGACAGAAACTCGCAATGTTCACATTTGGAATAAGAAATAAAGGAGGAGGCCTACCATAAGCACATCTCCTCCACCAAGAATAAGTGGAATAGACTCCGCCTGGATGTCAGTAGGTAGTCTGAAATGCAATGATTGAAATACATCAGTTTAGTGTTAACTGTTAAGCTCATGGCAATTTCTAACACGTCAAAACAATATGCACAGATATCACAAAACAGACGTATATTTTTGCCAAATAAGCCTGAATGACTTACAGCCAGTCTAGCTCTTCCACAGCCTGCGCTATTTCAGGCATAACACCCATTTTTGTTGAACAAAATACATATTTAAGGTTTCACTTCACTCACGTGGTTTTTAATTAAATTAAAGTAATGTTGAATTCATGCAACATGAACACGGTTAGATTGATAAATATTCTTACCCGAAAACGCTGCCATTATTGCTGCTACGAATGTAACTTATACGGATGTTAACGTGTTCGGCTCGGTGCAACTCCTTTAGTGGTCCTGCAAATAAGCCTTGTATAATTGGTTCCGGTTGGTGAATTAGTTCGTAAAATACGTTAAATATATCATTGCTAAATATACAAGGAGGGCTACGACAGCATATATGTATGTGTTTAAACATCATAGCATTTAAGTTATTATCAAGCCATGAGAATACTTAACTTGGGCTGTAAACTACATTTTCCAAACGCGATTCCCTGATAAATATTGTCCAGTGCTGCTCCCCGTAGACTTTTTTTGACAGGCTGTTCAAGTAAACATGGCTGAGGAAAGCCTGATAGAAGGCGAAGATGAAAACATTTTTGTACGATTTATTAACGAATGGCCGGCAGAGACAGACACTCAGGTTGGTCAGACTGTTTTATTCCCGTGTTTTTAGTTTTTCCCTAATCTTACTGTAGGAGGTGCCAGAATCATGATCATCAGACCTGGAAAGTGCTATATATTAGTGTCTTTAATGACATCCTATGCATTATTGGGGTAAAAAGACTGATTTGTATGTCCTATATGTCCTTGTCTACAGTGCCTAATCTTTAATATAGAATGTGACAAGAGACAGATGGTCCATCAAATATGTCATTACCACAGGGTTACCATTGTGATGCTTACTAACTGTGATATATTTCTTACAGGGCCATTCCGTCTAGTCTTGCACTACTTGTGGTACAGGTACGTTTATCAATATTATGCTAGCAGGTTTACATTACTTATTTTATAATTATTATGTAATGGACTGACATGCCACATACAACTGTGATTCATGGTGCTTATGAATAGTGTGACTTTTAGAACTGAGTTATGTGGCTGTGTTTGACTATATTACATTTAAAACACAGGTATTACTTGTAATGTCTGTAGACAGCTTGTAATCAGCTATCTTTATGAATGCAAAAAAGGGTGTGCATTTTTTAAGCACAGACCATGAAATCTTACTGATTTTTGGTTTGGTACTTCAAAAAAGCTACACAAATATGGGTCTTAAGAATAACAATAATACTAATATAACTTTGCTCAGAATGTTTCCTATCATGGTGGCAGTCTTTTATATTTGTATGGTTATTTAAAATGACCATAATAGCCGCTCTAACACTGAACTACTTAAAAAGGAAAATAGGATTAAATGTTACCTTGTTCAATTCACCTATAGCCATTTTACTAGTTCTATTATTTGACCAAAATAGTAGGCCTGTGCTTTTCGCTTCAGCCTGGAATTAAATCATTTATAAATAATCCGACACAACTGGAACCCTACCGGTTCATCTGTACCTCCTGAAAACTACTTCATAAAAGTCTCTAAGACACAATCCTTTATTCAAGAGGCATCATTTTTTACCTTGCTCTTATCACACAGTATCTGTTGAAACCTCTTTAACAAATGGCTTTATCTGGCCCGCAGTGGATTCTGTAGTGCTGTAGCACCAAGGCCTGCTTATCTCATCAGCAGGTGGTTAGCTAGCACCTCCATCAATAAACTCATTACATATTTAAGACCTCCTCTATTCATGCTTGTTTCTTAGCTTCCCTTCTCTTTTTGTGGATGAGAAATCAGGGATTTTATTTCAGTACAAATGATCCAACAAAGTCGGCTGAATTCCTTCCACGTGTCGTAGTACAGTAAAAACATGCAATGATGAAGAACTTTCAAATGCATATTTAGTTGCTAAACAAGATTATAAGAATCAATTTCACCAAATCCTCAACTGCACAGCAAATCAAATCAATCCAATAACACCAGCGGTGGCAAAATCTCCACTACTTGCACACTAAGAAAGGCAGTTTACAGGACTGATAAAACTCAAAACAAAAATGCACAGTTCATAATGTTTACATTAAATAACCCCTCAATTCAATAAATAAATAAAGCTGATTTCATGGCTAGTACTTTTATAATGTTATGATGATGATTGTATTACATATTTTTATTTAATTTAAGAACAACCTTTCTAAAGATTATTTTATTTCAATGAAATTTAAAAAAATACATTATTTAATTTAATTTATTTCATTCAAGTGAGTGTAATTTAATGTGTCTACCTTTTGGGTATTGTATTTGTAATGTTACTGAATGTGTTAAGTTAATTGATATCTTCTTTATTTGAACTTAAACACATATTTAAATTATAATTAATTTTAATAAAAAAATAGTCTCATCTATGCTAATATATCTCCCACTCACACTTTAATGTAGTGATCAATGTTTTACATCAGATTCACTGACTTTTCAACCAATCACTCTCGACACAGTGATTAAGAATTATGTCATCCATAGCAACAGGTTGGACCCGTTGCTTCTCTTTTCCCTGGAGGTCAGTCCCTCAGTAAAAGTTGCTCTCATCAGCTTTGTGAACGTTTACTGGGAACTTTTACCCCTCATTAAAAAGACTTCTAAGTTAAGTTATAACTGTTTCTCACACACACACACACACACACACACACACACACACACACACACACACACACACACACACACACACACACACACACACACACACACACACACACACACACACACACACACACACACACACACACACACACACACACACACACACACACACTTGAATACTTTATTTGGTTCCACAAATTATATTACATAAGACAGGGAATCAAATATCGGGGCTAAGCAGCACAGAACACTTAGGGGAACACATAGCATCTCCTTCTCCACACGGCTAAGCTGCCAATAATAGCTGAAACAGAGCAATATTTGGCAATTTGTTTGGCTTTTCTCTTTGACATTCCAGCAATTCTCAGACCAATCATGGTGCATTTATATATATATGGCCAAGACTTCCGAATATGAGTATGCTATATCTACACTTGTACCCAAAGCTGGTTATCACATTGAGCAGTGGTTGGTATTTGATATACTTGTCCTGGAAAGCCTGGTCCATGTACAGGTCAAAGGCACAGCCTACTTCTAATATTAGCACCTCCCTGTGGTCGGTGTCAACAAAAACCACATCAGGTGTATTTGGGATGTTAGCAAAGACATCATTGGTAAAAACCAAACCATTCTGGTAACAATCTAGTGTGCTTGTACATTGCTGCGCTAGATGGTAAGATGTTTTGTACCGCATCAGACACAATGTCCACAATACGGTCATGACGGGCTATGTACAGGCGTTTGTATGCATTACATCCATTTGTTATGTGTGCAATTGATTCTAGGTGTTGTTGTGAATCCTGATGGTTTCAACAGAATGGAGTGTGAATGTGAGGGTACCAGGTGGACAGATTGTACCTAGTGGGTAATACCTGCAGTCTTGCTTTGATGGTAAATGTCAGAACATCCTCACTAACAGCGGCGTTCTTAAACACTGAGTGTGAGACTGAGTGGTCAGCAAACCCCAAACAGGCTAGCTTTCCCTGTAATCTGAGTCCACACCAGTGCTGCCTGATCTCAGACTGCTTCATGCTGAGCAGAACTCTCCTTGCAGAGTCTCTGTGCAGTTCCACAGTCTCTTCCTGAGGTGTTGTGATGTCGGCCTTCACAACCACACTGGGGTCTGTGATCAGTTCATCAGAGACGGGGACTTCAGTCTGTGTGTTATCTGGCCAGTCAGACCAGACCCCGAAGCCCTTGGCCTGAGAGTCCAGTTTCCCAGAGTCTTTCCTCCTGAAGCCGAGGAAGTTGTTCAGGTCTGCGCTGGCCAGGGGGATCTTCCTTCTTTGTAGATCCAACAGGAGAGAGGCCCTGGCCATTTCTCTTACGGTGACATCATCATTGTTAAGCATGTGGACCAGGTGGGCTAGCCTGGTGGCTATGTAGGTCCACTCGACATTGGGGACTCCCAGCCCCCCCTCTCCACATGGGAGAAAGATGATGCCCCGTGTGGAGTGTGTGTTGAGGCCCACCCACTTTCTGACCAGCTGGACAGTTTTGTTTGTCATTCTCTCAGTGCCTTGAGAGGGATGTGTACATTGGCAAAGAGATGTTGAATTTTAGCCAAAGCCACACACACACACGCACACGCACACGCACACACACCTGAAAGCAGGCCATTTTCTTGCTGACTTGTTCTAAGCCTCCCTCTCGTTTGGTTTCCTCTCCCTTTTGCTTATCCCCTTGACCAATCATTCATTTAATTCTACTCACTACAGCAGACACACCAACAGAAAGGCAGTTTTTTAATTGGCAATCGATCCCAGCATGTCAGATGGCATTAAGTGCGGTCAAATTATGCTGCAGATTTCCATTAGCTTGATGTGTTTGATCCTACGTCTGCCTTTTAAACCTTTCTCCTTTCATTTGAATTCCCTATCTATCCTTGATTATCTTTCTTTAACTATCATTGCTCTGTTTAATGCTCCCGATTATTATTGTTTCTCCTCTCTTCAAGCCATCCACCATTGGCTCTTATTACAGTCTTTATCTCCCTGCCCCTCCAGACAGACACTCTTATCTTCCTTAATCACCATGGATTCATTTCACCTCCACTTTTTAAAATGTTGGTTATATTGACCTCCTCTCAATGCTCTCTTTTCTTTCTCTCTCTTGATCATTCCTGACCATCCTCTTGTTCTCTCCACAGTAATGGCAAACTGTTGGCGGTGGTTCAGGACCAGTGTGTGGAGATTAGGTAATTATTGAACTCTCTCCCGCTGTTTGAAGCTCCCTGTCTTTGTGCGTGCGAGTGATAGAGAGTTTTAATTAACAAGATGGCTAATCACATCTCCCTTTTAAAAAAAAATTAGCTGCAGTCTAAGCTTGTATCTGAAGAATAAAGCATCAATACAATCAAAGACAACTCAATCAGTCATAGTAGAAAACATTTGAGTCAATTTAGCAAACCTTTTGTGGCACTTCGGGCTACATAAAATAAATTAAAGCAAATTGAAAACCCAAGTGCTGCCTAAATGTTTCCATCATCGTCCAAAGCATACATGCACATGAGCGTGTTTGTGCTCATTTTGAGCTGTTGTAATTATTTTCCGACACAAATCCAATTTTCCCCCTTACACGGGAAAAATGTGCCCGCTCAGCACTGTGCTCCATTGACACAATGTAGTGCTTTAAATGGAGCAAAATTGAAATGAAAATCAATAGCAACTAGAAAATGCATTTCCTGCAGAAAATGCGTGCGAATGCTGTAAACTGTGAATTAATTTAGCTGAAAATGCAGAAAAAGCTGAATATGTTATTAGCTGAATGGTAGCTGCTTTTAGCAAAAAAAATGCAGAAAAAGCTTAATATTTAAAAGAAAAGGTTTAAAAAAACATGTATAGCCTTGATGTCCTGAAATAGCCGAATAATGTAATAGTTGAATGGTTTCTGCAGCTTAAAATAGGCTGAAGGAGTTAAATATCAGATGTAAGTAGTAGTGAATTAATTTGTATTAAGATGAGAAAAGAAAGTAAAAAGGCTTGGGAAAGCAGCAGAATATTTGAACTACAAACTTTTGAACTAACTTGATGGTGAATTATCTGTCGCCATGGCAACGGCATTTGATGACACCCCATAATACGCTTAGATGTGTTGATGGCTGCATCGTTACCAAACCTGTGAAGTTTTGGGCCATTTCGAGCATTTTCACTGAAGTTATGAGAAAACCGTGTTTCATGGTGAGCATTGTGTTGCCATGGCAACGGCATTTGAAGAAATCTCAAAACTGTCCCGATGTCTTCACGGCTGGACTGTTAGCACACATGTGAAGTTTGAGCACTTTTTGAACATTTTCATAGTAGTTATACATTACATTAGGAGGTTACATTACTCTCTCTCTTCTCTTGATCGCCCTCTCTCTTCTCTTGATCACCCTCTCAATCTTCTATCGCCCTCTCTCTCTTCTCTTGATCGCCCTCTCTCTCTTCTCTCTCTCTTCTCTTGCTCGCCCTCTCTCTCTTGATTGCCCTCTCTCTCCTCTTGATCGCCCTCTCTCTCTCCTCTTGATCGCTCTCTCTCTCTCCTCTTGATCGCCATCTCTCTCTCCTCTTGATTGCCCTCTCTCTCTCCTCTTGATCGCCCTCTCTCTCTCCTCTTGATCGCCCTCTCTCTCTCTCCTCTTGATCGCCCTCTCTCTCTCCTCTTGATCGCCCACTCTCTCTCCTCTTGATCGCCCACTCTCTCTCCTCTTGATCGCCCTCTCTCTCTCCTCTTGATCACCCTCTCTCTCTTCTCTTGATCGCCCTCTCTCTCTTCTCTTGATCGCCCTCTCTCTTCTCTTGATCGCCCTCTCTCTCTCTTCTCTTGATCGCCCTCTCTCTCTTCTCTTGATCGCCCTCTTCTCTTGATTGCCCTCTCTCTCTCCTCTTGATCGCCCTCTCTCTCTCCTCTTGATCGCCCTCTCTCTCTCCTCTTGATCGCCCTCTCTCTCTCTTCTCTTGATCGCCCTCTCTTTTCTCTTGATCGCCCTCTCTCTCTCCTCTTGATCGCCCTCTCTCTCTCCTCTTGATCGCCCTCCCTCTCTCTCCTCTTGATCGCCCTCTCTCTTCTCTTGATCGCCCTCTCTCTCTCCTCTTGATCGCCCTCTCTCTCTCCTTTTGATCGCCCACTCTCTCTCCTCTTGATCGCCCACTCTCTCTCCTCTTGATCGCCCTCTCTCTCTCCTATTGATCGCCCTCTCTCTCTCCTCTTGATCGCCCTCTCTCCTCTTGATCACCCTCTCTCTCTTCTCTTGATCGCCCTCTCTCTCTCTTCTCTTGATCGCCCTCTCTCTCTCCTCTTGATCGCCCTCTCTCTTCTCTTGATCACCCTATCACTCTTCTATCACCCTCTCTCACTTCTCTTGATGTGTCTGTGAGAGAGAGGGAGAGTGTGTGTGTGTGTCTGTATGTCTGTGAGAGAGAGAGAGAGAGAGAGAGTCTGTGTCTGAGTCTGAGAGAGAGAGAGAGAGTCTGTGTCTGAGAGAGAGAGAGAGAGAGAGAGAGAGAGAGAGAGAGAGAGAGAGAGAGAGTGTGTGTGTGTCTGTCTGTCTGTATGTCTGTGAGAGAGAGAGAGAGAGAGAGAGAGAGAGAGTCTGTGTCTGAGTCTGAGAGAGAGAGAGAGTCTGTGTCTGAGTCTGAGAGAGAGAGAGTCTGTGTCTGAGTCTGAGAGAGAGAGAGAGAGAGAGAGAGAGAGTCTGAGAGAGAGAGAGAGAGAGAGAGAGTCTGAGTCTGAGAGAGAGAGAGAGAGAGTCTGTGTCTGAGTCTGAGAGAGAGAGAGTCTGTGTCTGAGTCTGAGAGAGAGATAGTCTGTGTCTGAGAGAGAGAGAGAGAGAGAGAGAGAGTCTGTGTCTGAGTCTGAGAGAGAGAGAGAGAGAGAGAGAGAGTCTGTGTCTGAGTCTGAGAGAGAGAGAGAAACAAGTTAAACATCTAAAAAGACAGTTTAAAAACCTAGATATTTTTTTCAAGTATAACAACTTTTGAAAAATGTAAAGTTTCCCATCATGTGATGAAAAAGCAGAATATCTTTGATATTTCAATGCACAGCATACAGCATTCGCAGTAAATAGTGAAGAAGCTTAATATTTAAAAGAAAAGGTTTAAAAAAGGTGTAAACAACTACATGTATAGCCCCAATGTCCTGAAATAGCTGAATAATGTAATAGTTGAATGGTTTATAGCTGAAAGTAGGCTGAAGGAGTTAGATATTAAATGTAAGTAGTAGTGAATGAATGTTTACAAACACCTGTGTGTGTAAGCCCAGAGATCAAAGGTTACCATGGTGACGACTTATGACGATTTTCCAACTGCAGCACTGAGTCACATTAAGAATGCATTGAGGATTATATCTGACAATTTTGCCACCTGTTAAAAAACTATGGCTCCTATCAAAAAATTACTAGACCGTGAGCATCAGGGAACCCCAATGAACTGATATATGTTGTTTTTTTTGGTTTTGTGTGTAAAATGTGGAGATGGGAGCAGTTTGTCTAAAGTGTACTTCTCTCTGTTCTGAAGAAAGTTCCGGAAAGATTTAACATGGGAATCAATTGGGAGCTAGGTGGACTTTTTGTGTCTTCATGCCCTCAAGAGGCATTTTTGTTTAATATTTTTTCTTAATTCTTTTTTATTTTCCAACCTAGGAGAGGTTTTCCTACGTTTTTCATGAAAAATTATGTCTGAGAAGTGTAGGGTTTGGGAATTATGGCAAGTTTAAAACATTTTTTGAGGAGAATTTGAAGCACCCCTCCACTCTGTTTTGAGATCAAAGCACTCTAGACTTAACGAGCTGCTCCATCCACACTAATGTTAAAATCTGAAGAAAGCCTCTTTACCAAGCTCCAAACAAAGTTAATTATCTCAAGAAGTATAAAAGATATCAAAGATAAAAATCAAGTTTGAATAGCTGAAGGTCTTGTGATCATTTGAAAGTTGGAATGAAGTGTCTAGCTGAAAGTATGTGGAAGGAGTAGCATTTGGCGCAAAGTGTAGGAAAAGAGGATTTGAAGGCATCTCCCATTGACTTCCATGTTAAAAAAAGAGTTTAAAAAGCTGAATATTTCAAGAAGTATAAAATATTTTAAAAAATGTGAAGGTTTCCCATCGATTCCTGAACAGGCTGAATAGTTTAATATTTGAATGGTTTCTGTAGCTGAAAATAAGCTGAAGTTATGGAGTGCCAAAGTATTGGCTGAAATAATAAGGGGAAGAATAAAGATTCGAAGAACTATAGTGGAATGCTGTAAACAGCATTCGCACTAATAAAGCAGGTATACAAATATGTCTTGCTCTCTCTTCGACAGATTTGTCTCAAAGGGCTGCCTTCCTCTTGACCCTCTGCGTAATTGAAAGTCATTTTCACATAAATACGTAAAAATAAAGAAAGTATCTGTTGTTCACTCTGAGAACTGCGTTGGTTGACCCGATGTAATCGAGACCAATCTCCTCTTATGCCTCAGATTGATGTACTGGGTTTCTCCGTACTCCTTTGTACACACCCCTGTTGTTAAATCACAGAGTGTGTTATAGACTTGCTTTATGGCATTTGTCGGTGTGAGTGGGTGTTTTGTCGGCTCAAGGCCTTATCCATTGAGCTTTGTTTAAGAGTCTGTCTAAACACTGCCCACTCTCAAGACCCCTGTCTGCTTGATCCATTGAGCTACTACAGCTCGGAGGCCATAAGTGGCCATTATAACCCACGTTATATGAGGTCATCTAAAGCTAAAAGTTTGTATAGTTGCCCCCTTTGGTGTGTGTATCCTTGTCATGTCGCTGCTTTTTCACTGGTGTGTTTGCTCCTCAGGTCTGTGAGAGATGACTTTGGCTCGATCATTGGGAAGTGCCAGGGTAAGTCCCTCTCCGCCGTTTAATTTGAGCTCATAACACGTTTTTAACTTGTATTCTTCATTAACAGTGTCCATAGCCTGTGTTCGAACACTACTTGGAGTTCGTTTCAAAGCGAAATATCAACCATGGTGGCTAATTGGATTTTGTGAGAGGGACACAGATAATCACCCTCATCCCATACACTGCCACTCATTAGAAGCAGCCTCGTACTGGCTGATAAAATAAATCGCCTTTATTGTTTGATTAGCTATTAAATTAAAATGGCCTGCTGCGTTGGTATTAATTACGTGAAACATGGGGAGGCCCAAACTTTCTGAAAGTAAATACACTTTGATGTTAGGAAGTCATTTCTTTTTTAGTATTGGGATTTTTTTATATTTAAAGGGACAATGAGTATGATTTTTTTTCTTTGGTTTCTGTTAGTTTACACATAGTCACGGAATAATGATACTGAAAATCCTACTCATTGTCTCTTTTAACAGTCACCTATCACTTTTCATGTCTTTTATACATGAAGATGTGTGCCCTCATATTCTCTCTCTTTTTGTCCTGATCCATTTATATAAAAACCTGTCTGAAAAGGAGCTGAACAGATTTTGGCCACAGAAGCGTGGCTATTGGATATTGGACATGTTGGATTTCGGCAGACAGTTATGAACACCGTCTCCCTCACAGATCTAACCAGACAACAGATTAATTGGCTGCAAGCAACAACTACACTGTAGCAACATTCACCAGGAATTATTAATAATTCTACAACCACAAACTGAAAAAAAAGTAATATATAGATATAATTGCAAAAAAATCATACATGGCTCTGGTTTCAAACAAAGGGCGAAAAAAACAAAACACTTTTTTAACATTAAAGCATGAAAACATGTGACAGTAGAGGCACCCAATGCTAATATGAAATCTGAAAATGAGCCCCTTTAAAAAAAAAAAAAGCATTTTTGTCTATATTTCCCTTTTAAATCCATCAATGACAGCGTAATTAATGCCTGTAGCCTTAACTTGACACCATTAGTGAATTTATTTTCTCTTGTGGCCTCCTCATTTGGAGCCCACTTCTATTACAACAGTGTTTCATCAAGAGTGTTGTTCATACATTTATATTCAAGCATCTGCAGACATCCTTATAAATCCTTTGAATCAACTCTCATCCCTTAAACCCGTTGCAGATGATGATAAATCTTAAAAATCAGTGTGATTTCAAACACTTTCATAATTTGACATCTAGGGGCAACATGTCGTCAATATGCTCGTAAATATGTAGTATATTGATCGCCGTGCTACAACTTAGCGGGATTTTACTGCATTGCAGTTAACTTTTTACTGAAGCTTTATTTTTTCTATAAAAAAATTTGCTTGTGCAGTTAAAACTAACAGCAACACATAATGAAATATGTACTCTGAATATCTTAAACTGTGGGTTTTTTCTCCGGAGGTTTTTCCTTGTACGATGTGAGGGTCTAAAGGACAGAGGGTGTCGTTTTCTCATACTGAGATTCTGCACAAACTGTGCTGTTGTATTTGCTGTAAAGTGTCTGTAAGGTAATTATTATATGTACAGCACTTTGGCTCGACCAAAAATCGTTTTAAAAATGTGCTATATAAATAAAACTTGATTTGATTTGATTTGATCAGTTTGTAACATCGGAAAAGGAAGAAGAAATACAAGGATCTTATGCCGACATTATTGCCCAAGCATAAGATGTTACATTATGGAATAGTGCCAATTGGCTTAATGGAATAATAATAATGGAATAAATAAGCCAATCACTTTAATGCAATACCTGCAGGAATCAACTATAGCCGTCTAAAATGCCCTTGGCCCTCCAATCCACATAGCATTCAAAGTTGCGGGTTAATTATGTCTGGCTCACGCCCGCGACCTCACTGTTTTCACAACGCTCTCCTGGTCTGCACTAACCAGATTTAGTTTGGCCGGTGAAGCTTGGTTTGGCAGCTTAATGGATTTTGGCAGCTACTGTCAAGTGTTTGCCAGCTGATAGATGAGATGAAACTTTAATGATGCCTGCGTAAAAACTGGGTTAGAAACAGAGAGAATAGGATAGAAGTAAGGGAAAGGCGAGGTGAGAAGCTGAAAAATAATATGAAAAAAAAATGTCAACAGCTGAATACTGAATAATAATAAATATATAACTTGTTAAGGCTCAAGCAGTAGCTATACAACAGTGACAGTTTTAAATTCCGTGATGCACAGATGGCATTATAAATACTCATAAATGTTTCCAGATGTGCATTTAAACACTGTGATCTTTTCATTATCAGAGGTTATATACTCATGTGTCTGCAGATGTGCCAAGGGATGTGACAAGTGATCGAACATCTGTCTGAAGAAAACCTTAGTATTAGTATACATAAAAAGGCTTATATCATGGGCTACTATCTTAACACACACATGAGTCTGCTATCAGTTGATAAACTCACGCTCATATGGCAAGCCGTTTGACTATTTATTCCATATCCTTGATATCAGACGGCAGCTGCCTACACTAGTTGGCTCTTTGATTGCACTTGTTAGATTTATGGTCACACTAGTTTGGCACTCTGTTTACTAGTTGAATAAAACATTATTCTAGTCATTCTCTTTCAGTAATTAGTGGCACTTTTGTCCGACTAGTTACTACATAAGCCTTACTAGTGACGCCAGGAGCGGCACTAGTAGCACCAAAGTCCAAACTTGTAAGCTTTTTTTCGTCTGACCGTACTAGTGACACTAAAAGTGTGCAAAAGCAGCAGTCGTGTGCTGGAATTATTTTGCGCATTAGATGCTCGACTGAACGTATTAATGTAATCTCTCTCTGGCCCAAGTCTGAGTGGGTAGAGAGGGATTGTGTGCACGCCCATTAGATATTAAGTGAGGTTATATTATATATATATATATATTTGCATGTATTGCCGATGTATGTGTGTTCCTCTTTATCGCCTGGTCTGAGCCTGCAGAGCTGTTGCGTGCTTCACGTGTAAACAGGGTTAGAAGATTCATTTCACCCCCACCTCCTCCTCCTTATCCTTCTTCTTCTTCTTTTCCTCTCTTCCTCTTTGGTCCCACCATCCTTCGGTCCTGCCCGCAGCCAGGATTTGACGAGATCAACCCAGAGTGGAAGACATCGCTGGAGAGAAGGAAGAAAATAGAAGGTACTTTGGCCTGAAGGGCTAAAGAGAGCCGACTTTGTTGCTGACACAGCAGCGCACTGTGGATACAATTTAATGATCTTTGACATGCACTATTCTCTGAATTATACAGTTATTTAGACACACATCCAAGGCCAGAAAATATGTTCCTTTTTCAAAGTGTCCAAGCTTGTGAGTGTGTGTCTGTGCTGTGTGTGTGTGTGTACGCCTCTTTAGGCAGATTTACAGTCCCTTTTTTTGACAGTTTTGGGCCAGTTGTAATGACAGCAGTGACAGCTTGTGTAAGCAATAATCTGTGCGAGTCTTCATCTCATGGATGACAAGTGATGAATATGCCCACATGTGTAAATATGTCTCAGCGAAGAAAGCCAATTCTAAAATGTTAATGTAGAACACAAAATAGAATCCCAAAAGTGCACAAAACAATGTCAAATACAAGTTTGACCACATTTCCCTGGTGAATATGCACATTTGTAAAACTTATGTTTCCTGTCCTAGATAAGGAGCAGTACTACCCGCTGGAGGATGTGAGCTGGTGGAGCGACGTGGTGCTGATTCTGGCTCGCTGCTCCGGCTCAGTCACCGTGTCCTCAGTCAGGACGCTGCGCAACCTCCTGGGGAAATCCTGCGAGTGGTTCGAGCCCTCGCCTCGAGTCACGGCGGCACACAAAGTGGTCTTCCTCAGCCTGGAGGTAGGTGTTCAGAGAGAAGAGCCACGCTTTACTACCAGCACCGATAACACCTTCTTCACAAGCGCACAGTAAAATGTTTCAATCAATTTGTTCCTAAATACCCCCAGTGTTTCAAAAGACTTGAGCACTTCTGAATGCATTTTTGATTTGATTTAGGCCTACCTTAAAAATCAACTGCTCACATATTAGTTGCTTCAAAACATGCCGTTCCTGGCAAACATCGGAACAAACAAACCTTTTTGAACAAATATGCACAAAAGCATCCTATTTGTTCATAACTGGAAAAAGAAACACATCCATGTGTTGATGTATTTGGACCTATGTAACTTGGCCTGTGAACATTTCCATAACTCTATTGACACAGGAACAGTTTCTTGGAATTATTTATGGTGGAATCATCTCAACCATCATTTTATTTACAAAAACATAGTCCTGATTCAAGGTCCAGTGACTTTTTATGGACCTTTCAACCTGTTATTCATGAATAAAGTTCCATGCATTTGAAGGATTGGTTAATAATAATAAATTACAAGAACACAGACTGAAGTTTAATGATCTAAACCTTTTAAATCTGCTCTCCCCCTCTGACAGTTGTCATTTCAGGTGACTCGACGCAACCCTCCTCCACCCCTTTTCACCTCCTGTCCCTCTGAATCCAGGGTCAAGCTAAGCCACTCCTCTTCAGACCGACCCCAACTATCCATTCACCACCACCAGGGTCTAGACCCCGGGGGGTTTCATCGGATCGGTTTCCCCCCTCGAACGATACTCCTGCACAACGGGGTCTAATCGCCAAAACTCCATTACATTCATTTGTGTATTCCTGGCAATAAATATGTATTCTTACATCAAAACCGTCTCTCCTGATTGAATTATATTTATCCCCTTTGATACATGTATGGTCAGCTGGAGCAATGATTCAGCAAAGCCTCTGTACTTCCTTAACACTTCAAACACACACTCACTGGAATGTCTGTCTGTCTGTCTGTCTGTGTGTGTGTGTGTCTGTCTGTGTCTGTGTGTGTGTCTGTGTGTGCGTGTGTGTTATGCAATGCTTTGTTTCTTGGCAGGTGGATGTGTGAGAGTCCCTGCTGGGATAAGGCCAGATATCATTGGGAACTGCAGTTTAAATGGACTTTGCCAGAGAGGCGGTCTGGCGAATGGCGGAGTAAGCTGCTAGTCGGAAGAGCTCTGTCACCATTTAACATTTATTTGTAATTTGCCCTACTAATTTCCCATCTAAACTTGCAAGGCCTGCTTCTAAGAGTGACTTTGACTTGGTGTCGACTGTACACGATTTGTCATGGGGAGGAAGACCAAGAAAAGCGATGAAAGTGACGGCGGAGGCGAGGAGGGCTGTGAGTTAGCTTCACAAGCTAGCAACAACTCCGCACATGGCGAGGTCGGCAACCAGGCGCTGTCCCTCTCTGACATACAGAAACTACTCGCCGGCATGGAAGAGCGTATAATTGGAAGCTTGACAGCACAAATAACATCCAACCACGCAGCTATAAATCAGGCACGATGAGACAATCCAGGCCATTGAAACGTCAATGAACGACTTCCAAGGAAGAATAACTACAGCGGAGTCTACACTGGCTGATATAGTGCAGGAGAACAAACAACTGAAGCTGAAAGTTGACGACCTTGAAAACAGATCCAGGAGGTGTAATATTCGTATAACAGGTATACCTGAGCGAGCTGAGGGTGCCCGTCCAACTACTTTCATCGAATCCTTTCTGGCTGAAATATTCGGCCCCGACGCGTTTCCTCGCCCCTTGACCGTGGATAGAGCACACCGGCTGGCCGTCCAGAGGAGACAAGACGGCGCACCGCGTCCCTTCATAGCCTGCCTTCACCACTTCCAGATGAAACAACGAATAATGCAGCTTGCACGGGAGAAGGGCCCCCTGATGTACAGAGGCGCAGAGATCCACATATATGCGGATTACAGTGCAGAAGTAGCCAGGAAGAGAGCCGCATTTACCCCCATCAAGTCCTCGTTGAGAAACGCCGGGCCTCGGCCGACCGTGTAGTGGAAATGCGCCATTATGGCGCATTTCCACTACACGGTCGGCCTCGGCCACGCTCGGTACGGCTTGGCCGCGTTGGGCCTTAACAGGGCCGACTCACTTCATGCTGCGCTTCCATTACAGTTTAGGAACTGGGGTAGTTACTATAGTATTGCAGTGTAGGCGGAGCCGTGACGTCATCTTCAATGAGAACTCCAGAAAAACAACACAGCCGTTAGCTGTTAGCACTCAGAGCTCACAGCTCCTTATATATGTTCAGAAACTCGACAAAAGTTAAACAAGTACACACCACAGACTGCCTGTGTCATGGTGAATACAGTCGCTGCTTTATTTATGTCTGTATAGGCCGTTGTTGTGAGTGTGGACGGTCGGAGCATATACTGCGTTAGCTTAGCCAATCTCCATCTAGAAAAACACGCATTTTAAAAGGTTTTTCGCCTGCCGTCTGTCTGCAGACTTGACAAAGCATTAATTCATGGTTTTTACTAACCGGTATCAGTATGTTGTTACTTCGGCATCATTTTGAAACGTGTATTACAATTAAATCACGGTCAAATATGTCCATCTTGTTGTAGTTGTAGCCCGCTTGCCAGCGATCCTCTCTCTAGTTTAGCATACTCAGCCCGACTCAGCCCTGTTTGTTGGCCCCGATAGAACCACAATTTTGTCGGGCCAGAAAGGAGGTGAAAAAGTGGCCCCGGGCCGGGCCGGGCCGTAACTAGGCCTAGTGGAAGCGCAACCAAAAACGGGCACGGCACGACACGGCACGCTTAAAGCGAGCTCCGCGCTGTAGTGGAAATGCGCCATTATGGCGCCATTATTTCCACTTATACATAATTTCCATTATACAGCCTCCTCTTCCCCGCTAAACTCCGGGTTGTTGTGGACGGGACGAGGCACGATTTCAACGGTGAGTGAACTAAGCTGCTGACTAATTAAGCCGACCGGTGTTATGCCGTAGATTGAAGCCTTGCCGTAGATTGAAGTCCTGTCCGCGGGGACGCGCACAGGTGACGTCATCGCCTGTATTGAGTTTCGCCGAGTTTTCAAAGCTTTTTTCTCTCTTTTGAATGATATATTTCACATCAGATTAAACAGCAAACGGCTGAATAAATAATGTGCATACAATTGCAAGGTTGCTCGTTTTAAGGAAAGGCAATGAAAGGATAAGATGTCATTTGTCAGTATAGTCCTATTTCTTAAAACCTTCGCTGTTGTTTAAGTGTCTGATACTTGATAACCACGAATAGTAAGCAATGATATAACAGTAATGATATAACATATATGATAATGTAAGACACTGTGTTATTTTCAATCAAGCCTAAAAGATAATTTGTTCAAACTAGCTCCACTCGCTTTAATTGCTCCTTTGAATGTAATTTTCCTCTGTGGTTTCCTACTCAACACATTTTTGTATTGTAATGCCACTCATATTTTATTTTTTATTTTATTTTAAGGTGACATTGAATGTTTTGAGAGGTGCCCTAAAATAAAGTTTATTATTGATTAGTGCCTATATCACACTATTAATGTTCCTTATTTTAGACTAGGTTTTTCCTGGTGTCAATAGGGAAGATCTGCACTGTTCTCTACATAACATGTTCAGCAGAGCAGGTATTTCTCCTGCCAGATATGGCACCCCCCCTACAACTTTGTCCAGGACAGTCACAACTTCACCAAAATCACATTGGTGTTTGCTGTTCCCCTCTAGTTTATGCTCACCAAAGCATTTTACTCTGGGCCCAGCAGGTGAAAAACTACAGAGGGGCTTCCAAATCCGGCAGACCAGGTGTTGTAGCTGCCGGATTTGGAAGCCCCCCTAGATCTTTGTCCAGGATGGTCATAGACTCACCAAAATCACACTGGTGTTTGCTGTTCCCCTCTAGTTTGTGCTCGCAAAAGCATTTTACTCTGGGCCCAGCAGGTGAAAAACTACAGAGGGGCTTCCAAATCCGGCAGACCAGGTGTTGTAGCTGCCGGATTTGGAAGCCCCCTTATCATTTTGTCCAGGATGGTCAGAGACTCACCAAAATCACACTGGTGTTTGCTGTTCCCCTCTAGTTTGTGCTCGCAAAAGCATTTTACTCTGGGCCCAGCAGGTGAAAAACTACAGAGGGGCTTCCAAATCCGGCAGACCAGGTGTTGTAGCTGCCGGATTTGGAAGCCCCTCTTTAGTTTTT